TTAATATACTCATTGCAATATGTAAATAACCGATATGTGAACATTTCGTGAAGGAAGAGATGTTAGCGAAAGAGGAAATGTGTATGAAGTGGATTTATCACCATCTCTGAAGTGCACTTTAATTCACTTCTCAGGTACATTGCAATTTAATCATCATAAATCACACAATTTCCTGGCTGTGAAACTTGTTCTTTATTAATATTACCTTTTATAAATATTGTAGATATCAATAAAAGAAATAAAAAAAGAGGCTAATAAAAATTTAAAAAATATTTTTTGCAAAATACATATTACCCTCATTATATTACCCTCGAGGCATTAAATTATAGTTAATTAAATGTAATATCTACAGCATAAATCGATTGAAATATTTGCTGTAAAGGCAGGCAAAAATGATATCATTCGCTTGTACGACGAAATAGCTTCAGGGCAAATATGTTTTAAATACTTTACAAATACGAGAAGAGATTTCAATTTTATGAATTTAGAGAATTATTACGTATGGGAGCGGTCGTCAGAATAAAGAAATTTAGGAATTGAATTTTTTTATTTAGTGCTGCTTAGATCTATCTTCAGTTTACATTGTTCTGGAGTTACTTCTATTTTGGGTGGTATTAACTTTATGGTTATTGTTAAGAATATGGGTAGAACTTCTATTTCTTTGGACAGTTTTTCTTTATTTGTTTTTGTTATTGTCTTTCTTTGGGTTTTTGTTTACTATGGGTAGTTTTACTGGTATTATTTTTATATAATTCTAATTTTGTTTTCCGTGATATTGTTATGTAGTCATTATCATTATGTTTTAAAGAATGAGAGTTTGGTGTTTTTGTGGTATCATTCTCTGATGGACTTTTTGACTGGCTGTGATAAAATTTTATGATAAAATTAATGATAAAATTTTTATAAACTCTTATTGGTCTATATTAAAATTATTTGGTGCTTAATAGTTTTTTTAGCTAATTTATTTCATTCTTTTTTTTCTGGTCGTGCTCTTGATTATAGTAATAATGGTGGTTTGGAATGAGACTGCGATAATTTAGCATGGTTCATTGCCTTGTCTCTGGTTTTTCTCTTTTTGAATTCTTGAATGCATTTTAGTGCGTTTAATTTCCAATCTTGTGGTTTAGGGGTTATTAGAGCCTTCTTTTTCATCTTTTTTTCATGGTTTTAATTTTAATTTTATGGTTAGATATTTGCCTGCTATTATGGATTGAATTCCTTGCATTGGTTATAATTTTCTTTTGATGAATTTGGTGTTTGTAGTTTTTTGTTTTCTAATCTTATTGGTATACATTCTCATCATAAGAGGCTTGAGGATAATTAGCGTTTTGTTGAGTTTTTTGCAGTATTTTTCCTTCTTTGGTTTTGTTATGTTAGTATAGGATGATGAATTTTAACAGGGACTTAAATGTAGGTTCGGTTGGTTATCAGTGGAATTTGAGTTGTGAATATTCGGATTATTCTGATTATAAGGTGGGTTTTGCCTTTTATGATTGAGACTACTGAGAATTTACTGAACATTGTGAGAATTTTATTAAATGTATTGCTGGTAGTTAGCATTATAGTTTGTGGGGCAATATATTTGAAGCTGTAGTCATGAATCTTTTCTTTTTTTAGTACTCAATAGAATGTAAATTTGAAATTGGATTTTTATAGGTGTTGTAAATTTATTTTTTTGTTCGGTGAATTTTTTTTGTGTTTCTGATAAGTTTGGAAAATCTGATAAGTTTTATTGGAATTTTTATGTTGTTCAATTAAATTTAAAATCTATTGAGAAATCTATCTAATGTCTATCTATTGAGAACTGAGTGAAAACATTCTAAATCATAAATGTTTTTTTAGATAGGTCTTTGAATTTGATTGGCCTCTGCTCGATTGGCTAGTAGGTGGATGGTTATCTTGATATTGGATGGATGGTAGTGGTGGTAATCCTACATCTTATCACATTTATTTTGGGTTTTTTGGTCACCTTAGGTTATGATTTTAGGTTATGCCTGTTTTTGGTATTGCTAGTCAGAGGCGATTATATTTGACTGATAAGTAGGAGGTTTTTGGTTATTGGGCATGGTTTATTCATGCTATGTTGAAGACTGCTTTAATTGGTTATGCAGTTTGGGCTCATCATATATACTGTAGGTATGGATAAGAATTCCTGTGCTTATTTCTCTACTGCTAGTATAGTTATTGCTGTTCCTATTGGTGCCAAGGTTTTTACATGGTTGACTACTTTTATGGTATGCAGATGGTTTTTCAGCCAGTGTTACTGTGGATTTTGGGTCATGTTTTTTTATTTACTATGGGTTTATTTGACTTTATTATTTTTTATTTTATTTATTATGTTTCCTGGCTTAGGCTTAGGCTTAGGCTTAGGCTTATGGGCCTTTTCATTATGTTTTCAAGATGAGGGCTGAGTTTGGAGTTTTTGTGGTATTAATCTCTCATGAACTTTTTTGCTTGGTTTTATTTATGATAAAGTTTTCATAGATTCTTATGGGCCTATAATAAAATTATTTGGTACTGTAGCAGTTGTTGTTTAGCTGTTTTGTTTCATTCTCTTTATTTCTGGTCGTGCTTTTGTATCTGATTATAGTAATAATAGTGGTTTGGAATGAGGTTAGGGATAATTTAACATG